ACTGCCCCCCACCCATCAGCAGCAACAGTCTGGCATCCCACCACAGGTAAGAGTGCCTTTGTAGAACTGTGGAAGCCAGCACCAGAGGGTAAGGGACCCGGAAGGACTGTCGCCTGCCCATGGGTCCGGTAATAGGGATCACACCTTGGTTCAAGCTGTGGACCCCAAAGTGGCCTATGAACCTGCTCTGACCCTCTTGGCCAGTCTGTTGAGCCCCCAGAGAGCACTGCCTCAGACAATTACCCACATACAAGAGAACCTTTGGGAAGTCCAGGTTTCCCAAGGAAAAGTTCCATGACGCCCACAGGAATGCTTTGGAGAGGGTCAGAGGAGGAGTTAGACTTTACCCATGTCACCCTGCCCCAAGGAGGCACTCAGGGCCAAGAGAGGTCTTCTCACCCATGATTTCTCCTGCAGGGGAATGTGAGAGCATGTGAGTGAGCACCCAGCCTCCTTGTCTACGTGGGATGCTGCCAGAGAGGCTCCTCCTTCCATCCCGAGTACTGAGTCTTGAAATGCATAACGGGGGGTTGGGGGGGGGGGTAGGGGGAAAAGAGGCTGGAAGTGCAGCAGATGGGCTCTTGGAGGGCAGGAAAGAGACAGAGTCCTACTGACTGTGCTGTGGCCCCCATTAAGAAGCCCCCCTGGGGGTGCCTCACCTGCATATCCCCCCCAAGCGGCCCCCAGTGCTACATGTGCCTTGCCTACACCCTGCGGCTGGCTCCCTGTGCACACTCCTGATGGTGAGTGCAAGCTCTGGCAGGCAGCTAGTGAGCACATGCAGAAAGCCAGCCCCAATCTGTGGGTGAAGGAGAGACCACAGGCTTGAGCTGTGGCTTCACCATTGGGAAAGCCAAAGGAAGGCCATCAGCACCCAGCCGGGAGCCATCCAGAATCCAGAGAAGGCATCCGAGCATAAGAATTCTGCCACAAGAGGGAGCAAGACCTGTGGGGTAGGAGAGAAAGCCTCTGAGCCCAGAGCAGGGCTGTGACAGAAGGTACTGCTCTCCTGAGGCCAGCCAGCAAAGAACAGGAGGCAACTGCTACTTTGCCATGAAGACAGCAACACGGGACCTCAAGGAACTTGAAAACCAAGGGGACATGATCCCACCAAAGGATCTCAGCAACCTTCCAATAACCAACCCCAAAGACCTAGAGAGCTACACTTTACCTGGGAAAGAGTTCAAAATAGGTGTTCGAAGGAAGCTCGGTGAGGGGCAAGAAAACACAGAAGGAGGGGCACCTGGGTGGCTCAGTCGGTTACATGTCCAACTTGGGCTCAGGTCATGATCTCACGGTTCATGGGTTCGAGCCCCACATCAGGCTCTGTGCTGACAGCTCAGAAAATGGAGCCTGCTTCGGATTCTGTGTCTCCCTCCCTCTCTCTGCCCCTCCCCCACTCTCTCTCTCTCTCAAAAATAAAATTTAAAAACTTAAAAAAAACACATCTGAGCATTGGAGCATCTGATGAAATCGGGGAAATGATACGTGAACAAAATGACAAGTTCAACAGACAGAAACAATAAAGAGCCAAATACATTCTGGAGCAGAGAACAGAGATAGAAAGCATCCCTATCAGATTGGATGAAGCAGAAGGAAGAATCTGTGATCTAGAAAAAAGGAAATTTGAAATTATCCAGTCAGAGGAAAACAAAAAGAAATTTAAAAAAGTGAAGAAAGCACACCGTCCAAGGAAACGGTCTGTGAATTATGAGAGTCTCAGAGGAGAGAGGAGGTAGCACAGAGTAATAGTGACTGAGAACTTCCCAAATTGGCGAGAGATTTGGATAGTCAAGTTGATGAAGTCACCAAACAAACGCAACTTAAAGAGATCTTCCCCAAAAACACATTCTAATAAAACTCAAAAACCAAAGAATCTTAAAAGCAGCAGGAGAAAAACCACACTCACAAGGGAATAGCCATGAGGCTGTCTGCAGGTCTCTCGACAGAGACCTCGGAGGCCAGGAGAGAGCAGGACAAAATATTCCAGGTGCTGAAAGGCAGATCCTCCAACGGAGAACACTCTCCCTGGCAAAGGTGTGCTTCAGAGATGAAGGAGACAGACCAGACTGAGGGGGGTCCTCAGCACTAGGCCAGCCTCACAAGAAATGCCACCAGCTCTTCCTCGAGCTGACACGAAAGGGTGCTAATGAGCAACGTGAACGTGTATCGCTGCATACAACACAGCAGCGAAAGTAGGTGCGCGGGCGCATCCAGATTCCTCTAACACTGTAATGTGGTCGGTGTTAAACTCTTAACTGTCTAGATTAGAGGACAAAAGTATTACAGATAACGATAGGTACAATAGTTTGTTGATGAATACACAATATAAGAAGAGGTCAACTGTGACATCAAAAACATAAAATGGGGGCAGTAAAGGGTGGAGGTTTTGTCTGGGATGGAAGCTAGGTTCTTAGTGTAAAATAGATTGTTACATCTATACAAGGTCTTAGCAAGGCTTGCGATAACCCCAAAGCGAAACCCACCAGGAGAGAATGAAGAGGGTCAGAGCACACCCCTGTGAGAAATCAATTCACAAAGAAAAGCAACAAGAGAGGAGGAAAGGAACAAGGAACCACAAAAAGAGCTGTCAAACAACAGGTCACTTCTCCAACCCAAAGGCGAGAAATGGCTAGACGGACTAAGAAAACAAGATGAACTATACACAGCCCGCGAGACTCACTGCAAGGACACACAAGCTCCGAATGAAGGGGCAGAGAAAGTACTCTGTGTGGACTGAAGCCCAAAGAGAATGGGGACGCCCATGCTTCTCATCTGACAAAACAGACTGTTACTCAAAAGCTATAACAAGAAACAAAAAAGGTAACTAGATAATGTTAGTGATCTAGTTGGGGTGAGTTCATCAAGAGAATATAACAGGAATTAACTCAAAATGGATTAAAGACTTAAATTTAAGACCTGACACCACAAAATTTCTAGAAGAAATCCAGGAAAAGTCTCCTTGACATTGGTTTTTGGCAATGGTTTTCTGGGTATAACAACAAAAGCACAGGAACAAAAGCAAAAACAAATACATGGGACTGTGTAAAACTAGAAAGTCTCTGCACACGACAAAGAAGACAGTCAACACAGTGAAAAGGCAGTGAATGGGGGAAAATATTTGCTCGTCAGATATCTGATAAGGGATTAATTCATATCCAAAACACATAAAGAACTCGTAAAACTTACCCAAAAAAATCTGATTAAAAAATAGGCAGAGGGGCTAAACACTTTTCCAAAGAAGGCGTCCAGGTGGCTGAGGGACACGCGAACACACGAACAGATGCTCATCATCAGCATCAGGGAAAATGCAAATCGAACCAGAGAAGAGCACCTCGCACCTGTCTGACTGGCAGTGATGAAAAAGACAAGAAGTAACAAGTGTCGGTGCGAATGCGGACGAAAGGGAGGCCTTGTACACTGCTGGTGGGAATATAAATTGATGCAACCTCTGTGGCAAACAGGATGGAGGCTCCTCAGAAAATTAAACACGGGGGCGGGGGGGGCCCAGGTGGCTCAGTCGGCTAAGCGTCCGACTTCGGCTCAGGTCATGATCTCGCGGTTTGTGGGTTCGAGCTCCGTGTTGGGCTTTGCAGTGACAACGCTGAGCCTGCTTCGGCTTTTCTGTCTCCCTCTCTTTCTGCCTCTCCCCCTGCTCGCTCTCACTCTCTCAAAGCTAAATAAACATTAAAAGTTTTTAAAGGAAATTAAAAATAGAACTTTCAATATGACCCAGCAATCCCACTTCTGGGTGCTCATCTGAAGGAATCGAAGTCAGTATCTTGGAGACAGAGCTGCGTTATTCACAGCAGCCAAGACATGGAAACAACGTGCGTGTCCGTTGAAAAAAAGAAATCCTATTTGTGATGACACAGAGGAGCCTCTAAGGGCATTGTGCTAAGTGAAGTCAGTCAACAACAAATAGCATATGATGTCTCCTACACATGGAATCTGAAAAAGTCGGACTCACAGAAACAGCACGGTGGTTGCCGGGGGCTGGGGGGAGGGTGTGAGGTGGGGGGACATTGGACAAAGGGGGTAAACTTCCAGTTACAAGAAGAGTACGTCCTGGGGTGTCGTGTGCAGCGGGTGACCGTCCTCAGAGACCCCGTCTCCTGCGCAGCAGTTAGACGCAGTGGCTTTCCTGCTCTCTCCAGCCTGGTCTGCAACAATTCAGCAGATGTCTTTGCTGACAAGCAAACGATCATCTTTATTTGAACTTTATTTGAACCTTGGAATATTTGCTTATACGTATATTAAAGTTTGGGGGTTCCGACTATTGTGCCCTTTTAAAGATGAATCGTGTGAGTAGAATACATATTTCACAGTTCGGAAGTACAGCAGCCTAATGGCAAATAGACGTTAGACCCAGGAAGCACCCGTGCGCCCCTGCCTGAGCGGAGAGAGTGGTCATGTCACCCAGAGGGACTTTATAAAAGGCTACCTTGTGTCTTGGTTTGATAGAGCACACTGTTTTATAAAAATATTTAGATAGCATTTTTCTATGAGAGACGATTTTATTACTTTTGTCAAGAAACAAACTTGTATGTTTTAGTTAAAAAAAAAAATTTTGAACTGAGTGTTTTCCTTGAAATACCTATAAAAGTATTTTGTTGAACATAAGCTTGCCCAGTAATATGCAGCTTTAAAACCTAGAAAGCTCAGATGAAGATAGTTGACATAAAAATACAACTCCTGGTCTTGGTCGCTCATCACCCCTCCTGCGGGCGTTCCAGAGCTAAGCATGTGCGCTCCCAGAGCTAAGCGGGTGTGCTCAGGTCCCCAGCTTCAGGAGTTTTCCTAGTAATCCCCCCTTTAGAAAAAGCAAATTCCAAAGCCGGAACGAACAATGACTTAATCAAGGCTCCTCTGGGTGGGAGCCTCACTTTGTAGCTTTGTAATGTAGTCAGTGACATTCCAGAAATGCCAGGTTTTCCTACAGAGGCTCGCCTTTCGCCTGCCTTTCGGTGCTGCCTTGTGACGCCTGTGCCTTTTCACAGGCCTGTTCGCTTACTGCCCTGCCCACGACCCAAGTGTGCACGGAGCTGCCTGTCCGCGAACGGTGAGAGGCGGCATGTTTGAAGTCTAGAAGCTGGAGAGCCTACAGAGCCAACTGTGCAGGAAGTATATGCTGTCCTCAGGGAGAAAGTAAGTCTGCACTCGATAGGAAAGGAAGGCAAAGAGGGATTGCAGTGTGACATTTGAGACACAATAAATGAGGAAGTGCCTGTTTCGTCTCAAGCTTCAAGATCTCGCCGAGATGGGTATGCGTTTAATACCGTGGATTAGGTGAGCTCAGGTCATTCTGGTTTTACAAACTGACCTCTCTTACCTGTAACAGAACCGCGGCCTCGCGTGCTCCTTCCTCTGTTGCGGGGGATTAACGAGACCTCTCCTTTAGTTTCTGTGCACCAGTTGGGTGTTGACCGATCAATAAAGAGGTGGTCTTTCTACAAATGTTAATGCTTCCATACGCTGAGAATCCCTTTTTTTTGCAGATTCGCCTTGCTTTAAAAAAATATCACCGGCACATTCCCAACTGACCCAGAGCCAAGTGATGTCGTGTTACAATGTGGGCTCTTTTAAATAGGTTGTGGAAAGAACGGAACGGATCAAACGTTGGGTTTTGTCCCCGAGAGTGTCAGAGAATGAAGCTGGCACCGCCGGGGACAGCGCAGCAGTCCTGGGGCTCTCTTGCAACAAGGCTCAGTGAACTCAGATCAGAGCCGCCTGGAAAGGTCAGGAAAGCCGCTGTGCTCCTGTCCCCGGTGTGAACAGAAAGCCCCAGTGTTGCCCAGAAGGCAGTGGTTGGTCCTTGAGGCCTTTGATCCTTATCTAGAAATTCTGCTAGCACATGTCGTACAATTGAGGGATGGTCTTTTATTGCTGCAATTAAAACTTTTCAAATGCATTATATTATCTCCACCCAAGCTAAAAGTCCTGACCGTTGTTTAAAAAAGTAAGCTTAGTGATTTGTCAGATGCTGTGGTTGACTTTGGGGGCTGCCCGCTCCCACACCCCCCTACATGAGATTTCCCTTACTTTTTTCATTTACATCTCACCAAACAGCATAATGGTCTTAAAGTTTGTTTAGTCCTGTGACTGCCTTTATCACACGGAGACGGCAAACATTCTGTTGCTAACTTGAAGTGGCTCCAAGCAGCAAGACTGGGAGGATATTAAACCAGTAAAAGCTTATCAACTGATTCATTGATATGCTGTAAATTCCAGCCTTTTCATTTTGCTTTTGAGGGTGGTCATAAGTCAACACATTAGTAAGCAATTTGCTGACATCCAGACGGATCACTTAGCGAGGCCTCCCGGGCAGACAAAGTTCACCTGGGTACTTTTGTTCGTAGATTGTTTTTAATGTTTAGCCAGTAATGTTACTGGTAAATGACCAGTAATTGCTTTGCATATCAATAACCTGAACTCTTAGTTGATTTATCCAATATCTGAAGTATGAGACTTGAAAGGAAAAATGTATGAAGACATTCACTCTCTTTAAAGTGGAATATTTTATACATTTTGTTCCTGCCGAGTGAATAATATTAACCATTGGTTTAAAAACTAGACTCAGTTGTCTTTTTTTTTTTTTTTTTTTTTTTTGGCCAGTTCTTGCCCTTTCAATTACTAAGGGCATCTGACGCTAATAACAGGAAGGAAGTAAAGAAGGACACTGAACACATAAGAATTCGAGATTTAAGGGATAATCATAGCTACACTTAGGCCATGGCTCTGAATTGGCCACAATAGGTGGTGGATAAGTACACGGTGATTTAACTTGGTAATATCACCCTTGCTGGCTTTGAATGTGTGAAGCTACAAGAATAAGGTCACACCGGTTCACTTTTAGAAATTTGCCGTAGATACATACTGAAGGATCTGCAGTGTATGTATTAACGAGCTAATGTCAATGGTACGATCATAAGCTAAACGCCAAGCTTATTGAAACTTGGTAGTTGGAAGTAGCTTCAAAATCATTCCTCATTGGCATTGTTCCTTTTTTTAAATCCCAAAAAACACCCTTTAGAATGTATACGTTGGGGGGATATATGTGTCCTCCTTCCTAATCTACAAACGTAAAATCAATTTTTTTTAATGAACGCTAAGGGCCTCAGCGCCAATCAGATTCGTCCCTGAGTGTAAGGAACTCCTTCCAGGCGCTAAGAAATACACACAGAAGAGGTGAGAGCATCCGGCCGATGACAGGTGCCCGCGAGGGGCCAGAAGTGCTCTGTGAGAGTTGAGAGCGAGCTCATTTGCTATGAGCCCACGCACACCGGGCGTCCTCGCGGTCTTCAGGAGTCACTGGTGCTGGGGAGTCATGGAAACAGGGGAACGTGACAGTTATTCATGGGACTCTGTCAGTGACTTTGGCCGGCTGGGAAATTCCTACAGGGAAGTGATGAGAGGCCCCAGGGGACCTCGGCCTCCAGACAGGCCCAGGATGGGGGGTTGGGGATCAAGGCAGAGGTGGTGAGGGCAGTGCTCCCAGAAGGCCACTCGGGCATCGGAGGAGAGCTGGAGGCAGCCCGGGCTCCTCCCGCCACACAGGGCCCCGCCCCCTCGTTCCCACCTGGCCCCTCCCACCTGCTGCCGCCCTCGCCCGCCCTCGAAGCTGTCAGACGCCCCGCCCCGCACACACCCTGTTCCCCTCTAACTCTGAGCGCCCCCCCCCCCCCGGGCTCCCCTTGTTCCCACCCTGCCTTCCTGCACACGGGCACCTGGGTCCGGGGCTGGCCCCGTGTGCACCGTGGGACGGCCACGCTCCCGGCCCGTTAATCGTGCGGCACGCAGACACTCCGCGGTAAAGTTATTCAGCCTAGATTGAATACGCTGCATTTTAAGAGTCCTTAACCACCATTACACATAAAAGGAATTGTTACTTTTCTCATGTATGAAATGCTTTTAATTTCACCTAAGCAAGAAAGTGTGATTTGTTAACAAGTGTGAAAATGACATTACATCTGTTAGGCAGGTCAGTAGATATGAAATATAAATTAAGTCACACTGTGGGGCACAGCACTCCAGATGGCTTCCAGTGACCCATGCCTGCGGTTCTGTGCTTTACAAAACCCGCCCAGGTCCCTCCCTGCCCCCCAGATCCCCAGGGCCAGCTCCTTGAGGGGGGTCCCTCTCTGCTGCACCCACCTTCCCCGGGAGAGACAACAATAACTCGTGTCGTTAACGTCAACTTCAAAAAGTAGCGAGTGTCACAGAAATACAAAGAAATGGAGGGGACAGGAAGAGAAATGGGGAGCACGGGGTTCAGGGCAGGTAGAGATGGGGGTGCAGACACAGACGGGATGGGGAGTAGGTCCCGGGAGCACAGGGGCACGGTGGGGAGCAGCCGCCGGCTCTTGCTGAGCTGAGGGCACTCAGCAAAGGGCTGGGCTGGCGCAGTCCGGGACCACCGGGACCCTTGTTCCTCGCTGGCCACTACCCGGCTGCCTGCCCACCCCTCGTTCTGCCCTGGTGTCTTTTGTCTGCTATTAAATGTTGTTCCAAGCAAAGAAGAATGTTTCAATTATTAGCTTAAATTTTATGCTGTGCGAGGCCAATTTTTTTTTTTCAACGTTTATTTTTTTTTAATTTTTGGGACAGAGAGAGACAGAGCATGAACGGGGGAGGGGCAGAGAGAGCGGGAGACACAGAATCGGAAACAGGCTCCAGGCTCTGAGCCATCAGCCCAGAGCCCGACGCGGGGCTCGAACTCGCGGACCGCGAGATCGTGACCTGGCTGAAGTCAGACGCTTAACCGACTGCGCCACCCAGGCGCCCCATGTGCGAGGCCAATTTTAAGCGCAAACACGAAAGCATTTAGTTCACGTGTGGAACCTCCAAAAGTACACAGTGTGCGTCTCCTGCCTCATACGTGTATCTCTAACGCTTACCCACACAGATAAATTGTCCAATAAAACTGGGTCTGAGCCCTCGGTGCATGGCAGGGAAGGGACCCTGGATGTCCTCGTGTCCCCCCTTCCTTCTGTGCCGTCGCCTCCCATCTAAGTGGCTGCAAGGAAGTGACGCGCCAAAAACAGGACATGAAGGCCGTGTCCAGGAACCAGAATTCAGGAGCGAAAGAGCATGGGGACGGGGCGGCAGCTTGAAGCAGACAGGCTACGAATTTTGCACATGGGAATGATGCACAGCCTTCAGAAGCCCCAGGATCCCCAGTGTGATTAAAACACTAAGGAAGAAGGGCACGTCTAGTGAAACTACAGCCTTCTCAGAAGTGATGGCAGAAGACTGAGCACAGCACCTCTGGGACTTGCGTGAGGCACTAACAGCCTTGAATGCCACACACACCAAAGGAGGGTTCCCGCGAGAAGCATGGCAGGGCGCCCGGCTGGCTCGGCCGGAAGAGCAGGTGACTCCTGACCCCAGGGTTGTGGGTTCAAGCCCCACGCCGGGCATAGAGATTACTTAACAAAAGAAAAAAGAAAAAAGAGAGGCAAAGGAGACACTTTCAGACAAAAATGCCTTCACTAGAGGAGATTCTGAAAGGTGCCTTTCAGGAAGAAAGAGAATGATCCCAGGTTCCAAGATGCAAGAAGGGTGAAGTACAAGGTGGTAAAAATGTGGACAAACCTAATGGGCACAGGCTCTGTAAAGCAGGACCACTAACGTCTTCTGGCGTAAAAGAGAGGAAGAGACAGCTTGAACACACAGAATCCCCCGCTGACGTGCTCGGGGACCCTCGCCTACGTGGCGGGGTGAAAATTCTGACCGACCTCAGACGTTACTCATTTTAATATACATTTGTGGGGTGACTGCTGAAAGAACTGAAATGGAGTTTTAACCTTCAAATTAGCAGAGAGAGAGAGAGAGAGAGAGAGAGAGAGAGAGATGTCAGCGGAAGAAAAGAGCAGAGAGAAAAGTAAGCCGATGACAAGACAAGTCGAAAGTACAGAACAGGACGGACCAACGTCCCGCTGCATGGATCGGTCAGCACAAGCCCCGTCACATGACTTGGAAGGGGCTGTTGTGTGTGAGAACAAGAATAAGGTATGTAGGGGCGCCTGGATGGCGCAGTCGGTTAAGCGTCCGACTTCAGCCAGGTCACGATCTCGCGGTCCGTGAGTTCGAGCCCCGCGTCGGGCTCTGGGCTGATGGCTCAGAGCCTGGAGCCTGTTTCCGATTCTGTGTCTCCCTCTCTCTCTGCCCCTCCCTTGTTCATGCTCTGTCTCTCTCTGTCCCACAAATAAATAAACGTTGGGAAAAAAAAAAATTAAAAAAAAAAAAAAAAAGAATAAGGTATGTAAGAATGGGTGCATAGACACACACACACACAGAAAACGACAGGAAAATCTGGGGTGCTGACATCAGACAAAGCAGATATGAAGCAAAGGCATTGGGGACAGTGACACCCAGGATCTGTGGCACACGCACTCCTTCAAAATACAAATACATCACTTATAAAAACCGACCACAGAAATTCTCATCATAGCATAAGGCATTTAAAACACAGAGGGGCACTTGCGTGGCTCCTTTGGTCAAGCATCGGACTTCGGCTCAGCTCAGGTCATGATCTCACGGTTCGTGAGTTCGAGCCCCGCGTCGGGCTCTGTGCTGACGGCTCGGAGCCTGGAGCCCGCTTCGGATTCTGTGTCTCCCTCTCTCTGCCCCTCCCCTGCTTGCACTCTGTCTTTCTCTCTCAAAAATAATAAACATTAAAAAAAATTAAATGTGTACATCATGGTCTCTGACCACAGTGTACATAAGCTAGAAATTTAAAACAATTTTTAAATAACTCGAGATATCTCACACACTTGGAAATACAGAAACAGTTCTGAATAACCCCTTGGTAAAGAAGAAATTACAATGGAAATTAGAAAATATTTTGAACTGAATTGACAGCAAAATACATATCAAAACTTATGGAATATTACTAAAGCAGTGTATTTCTTCTATACTCAGTATCTGTTGTAAGGTCAACATTTGAGTATAGAATTAGTTTATAATTCTCACATATTATAACATATCCTAAGCATTTATTTACTGTTTTGCTATATGGCACCAGTTAGCATTAAGATTGGCCTACTGAGGGGCGCCTGGATGGCTCAGTCAGTTAAGCGTCCGACTTCGGCTCAGGTCATGATCTCATGATCTGTGAGTTCAAGCCCCGCGTCAGGCTCTGTGCTGACAGCTCAGAGCCTGGAACCTGCTTCGGATTCTGCGTGTCCCTCTGTCTC